CGCACCAGGTCAGATGTGTGGGGCGGCTGTACAAAGAATATGTTATGGAACTCGGCGACGGACACCTCACGCCAATCACCCAAGTTGATCTGAAACTTGATGGAATCCAAGCGATGCACATCATCAAAACGACGGTGCACGTTTACGTCGTAAATCATTTGGCGACGTGCTCGCATTTGCTGCTTTTGCTGATTGCGACGCTCTTGGCGCTCTCTGGCCTGCTTCGAAGTGCTCGGCTCCATGTCCAAGTCGCTGTCTGGATCAGGATCATACTGAACACTGATGCCGCCCAAGCGTTCCAGCTTGAAAGTCATCCCAACGCTACCCTTGCCAATTTCCAGCTGCGGCAGGCGGCGCAAGCTCTCAGCGTTGGCATACTCCATGCCACACATAAGCTGAAGCGCATGACCAACGGGCGTAACTATGAGTGGCGATGATGGCATTGTTCCGTTTGGCTTGTCCAGATTGTATAGCAATAGATGCACATTGTCCACCTGAGAAAATTTTAAATACTCCTTCTCGCAACCCAGACAATCTTCAATGGTCAACTGCAGTGTGTGTGTGTGTGTGTGTGGATATAACAGATAAATATTTATTACACTCAAATTCAACAACTTACCGACAAAATTTGCAACAAATTGGATTCAATATGTTCAGCCATTGTTCAGAGTTTTCTTTACAAAACTTTTTTGGCTTTTCTCGAACTTTAAGGCACATGTAGCGAGCACTGAAAGAATAAGTGTTGATAAACGTGTGCAGCTCAACGTTTTGCTGTTATCGATAATCCTAACTCTTAAGTGTATCTGCTTGAGTTGTCGATTACTTATTAACTTAAGAATATTAAATGAATCAACTTGTTAGTCATTGTTTAAGTATAAAAAAGGACACGAACTTGGGCTGGCTGTTAAAGTTTCAGCTTATAAATGCGGCCGTATCGATTTAAAATTAGCAGCAATCTGCTGGACGTTGAATTAAAATCCTATTGTCATCAAATAGGACATTTCAAAAGGTATATAAGGTACAAGATTTGTATCAAACTAACTGAACCCATGAGACTTGTGCCTGAACATCCCAAAAATGATTTTGTCCAACCCTCTTGCCTTCTAAAATTTGCTAAAACAAGAAGGAATCAACATTTTGAGCTTCGCTAACCACATGAAGTGAGCCATTAAATTGAAAAAGCCAACATAGTATGTACATAAAATTAGGATTAACGGCTTTCTAAGTGCCATCAAAGTCCCCGGAGTGTTTGCTCTGGCCAACAATTAGTCCAATGTGGCATATTAAAATCGCTATAAAATGACATTTTTTTATACCGAAAAAGATGTTGATGCGCTTGGCGAACTTTCTAATTTACCAGCGTAACCAGTGACAACGCCGCCTCGTAAATGTGCCAGCAAAGTAATATTTAAACCAATAAAAACAAAATTGTGATTTCTCCTCAAATTTTTTATGAGGCCGCTTTTTGCACATTACCAAAGAGTTTTATTTACTATGACCGCATCTCTACATCTTTGCGAAAAACGGAGCAGCATCTTGAGCTGCATATTAAATTGGAACTGGAGAAATTATATACATATATTTACATATAAATACAGTAAAATCTCTCTAAACGAAAAGCAATGCCCAAACGTCATTTAAAAAAATAAATACATGTGTATTATTATTAATACATAACTTATTACTAACGGTTAAAGATTTGCCCGACGGTCGCTTAAGGGAGTTTTCACTGTACAAACATTTCATTTTACTGCGTTTTGGGCGCTTTTGAAATTTAAATGATGATTGCGTTTTGAGCGCAATGCGTGTTTCTTGATTTATAACCTCTCTTTTGGCCAGATGTGTTTCAAGGTCTTAGCCTGCGTCTTTTGACTGATCATCAGGCCTTAAACGCTGCCCCATACCATACAAATATATACATAAATATACACATATAATTGTAAGTGAGTCTAGTTTTATATATTGGGACCACACAAGGAACTTTTAAATACAAGTGCTTCGTTTGCAGCCAATGTCAGCAAATAGCTGCAAGTAGCTCGAATAACTGCAATTGGTTTCTTCATAACTATAGCACAAGTAATTCAATAAGCCTCACACACACACAAAGTCTGAAATGTGGCTGTCGTAAAATATTTACCTTAATTTTTCTTTTGCAACTCACAAAAACACTTACTCCTTTGCAGCTGCGGCTCAATCGTTTGGGCCACTTTAAAATATTCAACAGCTAAACAGCGCGGACAGTTGCAATAGAGCTGTGACCACCTAATAAGCCAACTAGCCGATTGGGCCGATTCGCCAGCTCGTAATGCAAAAGAAATTATGGCAATTTAACGGAGGATCGCGATCCTCCAGACCTGGTCTCACATTGCAATTAGTTGGGAACGCTGCCTCGGGGCAGCTCTGCATTGGAGCTGAGCTCTGCTCTGGTCCGGTAGTCGTTGAGATTTTATCGCAAACATAAATTTTCTCAGATAAAAGCGCGAAAATGTTGCTCATGACTGGCTACATGTCCACACAAGGACACACACACATACACACGTGTGTGTGTGTGTGAATATACAAAGATACACTCACATTCGTTAGCCCCGCCCCCGCAGTCTGATGCTTCACATAGTTTTCGATCATTGAGCAAAAGAAATTATAGCAATTTGCTTGTCAAATTGTTGCCAACCGGCACAATAAATCGAGCTCTTTAATGGAGGACCACTGTGTGGCATCGGTCCGTTCGATCGCGATAGAGTTGTTTTAGAAATAAATTATCCCCAAGGCACACCAGTCGAGCTGTAGATCCTCGTTTGCCGGCTGGAGGATTCCATCGTCGTTTAGTGGCCGTTAAATTGTAAAATGTGCAATTTCATTGGCATGGCTTTTACTTAGGCCGATCATTTTCCGCACTAATTTAATGGTGCTATACCATAAAGCAGCCAAATTGAATATAGCTGCAAGTCGAATCGTCGACTAAATTGATTGGAATATTGTTGTGTTGATTTATAGCATGCGGGTGGTAATTTGACGTTTCTTATGGATTTCAGAAGGGGTTTCAATTAAATAGGTGCTGAAGATAACTTTGAAAAGATACATTTGTATGCCCTGTAGTGAACAATAACGTGAATCGCAACCGAACCGGCAATAATCTTTTTTATAATTGAGGGTATCTCCGAGTCGGGCAGTCTCAACTCACATTTTTGCACCAGTCGCAATCAACATTTTGAACAACAATTTCCAGAAGTTTAGCCAAATGCATAGTCCCCAAATGATATCTGGACGCTGCCAAAGCCTTCAGCTTAATTTCACATTTACTCCGGGCGAAACTGCAAATATGTGCTGAGCTTTTTTGTAGCCAGGTTTGATCTAGGAATGCATAGGTCAACGGCTCGCTTTTAGCCGGTCCTAGCAATGGTCTGCTCAACTCGCATCTGCAATTACGGGCATTTTTATAGTCTCCGTGTTGTGTGTGCCGCTTGCACCTGATGTGGTCTTTCGTGGTGGCGCATGTGGTAAGCTTTAAGCGCCCATTGCCCGTAATTCGAAATGTTTACGGTACATTTAATTTCATTTGGATTATTACAATATGCTTTAGGAGTTTAGCTGAGAAATGTTTGGCTCTTGCCGTGGCTTGCTCTCTCACTCTCTTCCTCTCTCTCTCTCTCTCTCTCTCTCTCTCTCTCTCTCTCTCTCTCTCTCTCTCGGGCTTCTCTGTATTTCTCATGCTCCATTTGCGGCGTCTTTGCCCGGAACAATGAGCCATGAAGTGGGTGGGCGTATTTGGGCTTTGGTTCTATCCGACACTCAGGTGCTCGTTTTTCATTGTTGTTGCCGAAAATGTAATTGCGAATTTCAGACAAATGTGAAATTTGAATTTACAAGTTTAACTTTTCTTGTAACGAGTAAAATCATTTGTTTGGCTTGCTTACAGACATACACACCCACACAAGACGACTGCTCCTTTTATGCATGTGTGTGTGTTTGCTTCGAGTGTGCAGTGGCAATTCTCGACTAAGTTCATTTGTTCCATTTCAACGCTCCCAGCAGCAGGCAGAAGCCAGCAGGCAGCAGGCAGCTTCCGTCGCATTTCTTGCCAGGCCGCATAAACAAATGTACTTCCCGGTTTTCAGATGCTGAACCAACCCATCCCCTTTCCAGCAGCATATTACCAGTATTTTCAATCTTTCGCCATTCAACAATGGCAGCCGTTGCCATATTTCCGACTTTTTGTATTGTGCCTCTTGTGCTTTGCCTCGAATTGAATTCTCAGGTATACACTACACAAGTACATTTAGTTTTTTATCATTTCTGGGTTTGATTGTGATGCATAAAAAGAGTCGGTCAGAGGCTAGATGATATATAAAGTTAACTCGTATAGCGCTGAGCCTGCGTCTGTGATAGCTGGACCAATGTATTTATCGGGAAAGTTATTTATGCAAGCTCAACTATATACTCAGCTTCTAGAAGCTGTAACCAAGCGGGAGTTTTGTGAATTCATTTTTTTACTTGTAAAACTTGGAATGAAAATAATTTTTTGGATGATGAAGTTTTTATATACAAACTGCCACTGTTTATTTGAACATATAAGACATTTGATTGGGCTTAAACATTGTGTATAAATTTTATTCAAATCCATATTAAAACATGTTTCATATATTAAAAAAAAGCATTGGAATTTTGTAACGTTGTTCTCATTTATAGGCTCCGAAAAGGCATAAACATTTAATTGCCTCTAATACCCTGTACCCAATGAAATGGAGAGGGTATTGTTTATTTTTTTTTTAATTCTGGAACAAACTAATTTGGTTAGGTCTGCGAGTGCACAATAGGCAAAGTATCGATATATCGTCGAGTTGATATTTTTGCAAGATCAGCAGCCACATACTCCGTTACCCTACTCAACGTTAGTTGTTCTGCGCTCTTTCGGTGTGTGGCCTGTGGACCGGCGAAAAGAATTCGGTTTTGCAAAAACAATACAAAATATTAAAGACCCGTAAATTTCTTTTGCTGAAAATATGGCTAATTTGAAGTTTTACAAACCTAGCACTGCCATGCTGCAGGCCTACATGGTAAATTTTAACGACCAAAGTTTAAGAGAAAATGATACTTGCTTCGGCGAATATCTGGAAACACGCCAATTGAGCTTTGACAATATCTGCTCTGTTCTTAAGAAGCTGCTCACCATTGAGGATTTGAGCAAAATGGATGACTACACTCAACTCATGCAGACGAATGTAAGCGTTACGAGAGTAGACGGCGAACACTATGAAATTAATCTTAGCCACACTGAAGTATATGCCAAAGATGTCTTAAAACCCGACGTGGACGAGCTAGTACTTGTGCCAAATGCAAGTCTGTTGGAAATGCCATTGCCCAATCCGCTGATCTTGGCACAGATGCCGCATATACACGAATCTCTCAATCCAAGAGATAATAAGCGCCGTCATGTGGGCAGCATTGTACAAGTGAATAACACAAGTGTTATTTTTGAATACTCAACAATAGATTTGATAAATTTAAACAAAAAATGGAACATTATCTTTAGGTCCCCGCGCATTCCGTTTCGCCTAATGTACCACGCACTCGACCTGCTTATGGTGTGTCGCACAGAGCGCAATTATTTGTTTGCTATTCCTAATTTAGCTAATCAGCTTCACGAGTCCGACTGTTTTGAAGACTTTAATCTGATCAACACACAAATCGCCACAAATAGTGAACAGCTTCAGGCAGTAAAGCAGATAGTTAATGGACCTAACTCTCTGGCGCCATACATTGTATTTGGACCACCAGGTGAGTAAAGAAAGTAAAAACTCAGCTAGCCCTGGATACAGACTTTTTGTCGATCGATTGCAGGCACCGGAAAGACTACAACCATTGTGGAGGCCGTTCTTCAATTGTGCCTTTTACGCCCGAAGAGTCACATAATTGTCACGGCGGGCTCTAATTCGGCCTGCGATACGGTAGCTTTGAAGATATGTGAATTAATTGAGAATAATGTTAGATTTGCCGATCAAAAAAAAAATGTGGTGCTGCGTGTTTTCTCGAGGAAAAGATATGAGCAAGGACTGGAAAATGTGCATCCTTTAGTGGTGAAATACTCCAATTGTGCAAATGATTATAAGAACTTTAACAGTTTAAAGTTAAAAAAATATAGGATCATTGTGTCCACTTTGTGCCTAGTGGGCCTGTTGGCACTAAATGATTCAGATGTCCAATTTACGCATGTTTTCATTGACGAGGCGGCAGCATCTACTGAACCAGAGACGCTGCTTGGCATTGTTGGCGTTAAGAATGCCGCATGCCATATTATACTCTCCGGTGATCACAACCAATTGGGCCCTTTTATTGGTAGCCAGCGTGCATCCAGCTTGGGCTTCGGTCAATCTCTTTTGGAGCGTCTGATGCTTAGCAGATTGTACCAGTTGGATGCCAGTGGCAACTATGACCGGACACTACAAACGCGCTTACGTCGCAACTATAGATCCCATCCGGAGATCGTGGGACTCTTTAATAAGCTCTATTATCATGATGAGCTCATACCGTTGGCGCCAACAATGAAGATTAACATGGCCGCCAAATGGAATCAGCTGGCCAATGCCAAGTTTCCCATATTATTCCACAACATATACGGAAAAACATGTCGCAAGATGCACTCGAGAAGTAGGTACAATCAGCAAGAGGCCCAGGTGCTTAGCTGGTACGTCAGAATTTTGCTAGGAAGGGGCATCGGCGGTGGCTTGAGTGTGAAGCAGCAGGACATTGGCGTTATCACACCATACTTGGCACAGTGTGAGCTGATCAAGCAGATATTTATCGAACGGGGTCTGTTCGATGTGGATGTGGGCACTGTTCAACGCTACCAGGGACGTGAGAAACCCATTATTGTTGTCTCCATGGTTTCTTCATATACCAGCACAACTTTCGTAACTAATCCTCGACTACTGAATGTTATACTCTCGCGAGCCATGTCATTATTAATAATAATTGGCAATCCGGTAAGTCTGGGAGCAAGTAAGGACATTCAGTACATCATCAACAAGTGCGAGTTGCATGAAAACGTTTTGGGCAAGAAAATTGACAACAAAACTAGTTTGCAAGGGTAAAAAAAAGATAAAAAAGGAAAATAACTTAAATAATAGGGTAAAACGTAACTTTCAAACTAAAAAAAAAAAAACAGAAGAAGAACTGCACAAAAAATAAAGAAGATCATTAAATGCGACTTCTACGCCAAAATGTAACCGCATTATTGTAAAAGCCATATACGCTCTAAGAATTTAATATAAACTTATTTTTTTTTCAAATCCTAACTTTTAATAATCTTGTAAATGCGACATAATAAAAAGGTAACTTTAAAATATTAATAGCTATATATGGTATAAGATTTAAATTTGTTTACACAAATGAAAATACTCATTATTCTCATTATTTATAAATGTGTTATGACAATCTATGGTTGGCATAAGCAAAATTTTTTAAGCTAAATATTTATTTTATGCACGCATTGAATTGCCTGTATGTTTAATGATTAGGTCCAAAATTTTTCGCTGACTTTTTTATATTTGTTTTGGTCTTTGCAAACCATGGAGAGGAGCTTTTGTGCTCGAGCGTCATACCGAAAATGTTACATTTCACGTATTGTTGGCTCTGGCTCTAACATTCGCTATGCTTCTTCATATTTTCTTGCTGCTCTATTGTTGTAGTACTTCAGAGCCAAAGCCAAAGTGGCGTGTTCCGGTCTGCCACATAAAACAGTGCGCCCACAGTCCATATAGCCGACAGCAGCAGCAGCAGGCGCCTGCAACCCCGACTGTGCCCTCGCATGCACACATGCACAAATACAATTAGAGACTCGGTTTGTTGGTTCAACTTGTTTGCTTACATTCAACTTGCTTCACTTCTGCTGCAATAGTTTTTTGCCATTCTCTGTAACTTGCCTCATTCTCTCGCTCTCTGAAAAGTTTTTGGCCAACTTTGTGCTCGTCATTGTGTGAGCGCCTTAACTTAATTTTGTGGATTTCTATGCATTTCTCTCTGCATGTATGTGTATGGGGAGTTTTGTGTTTGTTTAAATGTTGTATAATTCACTGATTTCTTGTGGCTTTTGTTGTATTTTTGTGTGCGACTCTGTGATTACGTTTGGTTTGAAATCTGGGCGCATGATGCGTATGAGCAATGTTCGTTTTGTGTACTGACAAAAATGCTGGAGAGAATCGTGTTTATTCCTATGTGGAAATATGAGGAAATGGAATAATTAAATAGCTTTACTTTTGAGCAGACATTGAGGAAACTTAAGTTAGCTCAAGATAAAACAAAATGCATATTTACCGACAACATTTTTGATATTAAAAAATTCATAAATCGAATTTAAATACTTTTATTTCAATCGAACTTGAAGTAAAATGTTTATATAATTTTAAGCAAGTTTAAAAATGATTAGCATATATAATGCTAATTATCTTGCTGATTATTCTACTCATCCACATGCCTAATACTAGACCACTAGCGGATCATTAAAGTAATCCACAATGAAATCTTCAATTGCTTTTGTGGCTATAAAAAAGCCAAAATACTTAACCGAACCCAAAACAAAACCTAGCAAGTCTTTATTTTCCAGCGAGACGAACAGCATGCAATGCAAATTGTTGTATCCGAAATTTATTGGCAGCACTTATCAGATTTGCTCATAAATCTGCAGAAAAGGCCCTGGGCATCGCCTGAGGCGTGGGTGGCTGGTGAGCATGAGCGAGACATTTATTTGCATGCTCCACTGTCCGGTGCTGGTCGCACAATCCACAAATTAACATGACATTTTTACAAACCCAAACATGTGTACACATGGGCCTCTGGTCCGAGTCCCCTCCCCTCAGCCCATTCGAAATTAATAGCCAGCCAGTCGGGCACGACAATAAAAACAACAACTAGGAAATACCAGGCCTGGAACATGGACAGTTATGGACACGGGCCAAAAAGTCAAACATTTGAATAACATCTGCGGCTGGTGAATATTGAGATCGAAGCGAACAGGTTGCCAGTTATACATGTGCCGCCTGGCCATAAATTTAATTACTCAAAGCACCAGAAATGAGCAAAACAAAACCCCTTATAACCCCTTCCGCATTTATTCCATGCCAGACATTCGATAATCTGGGCCAAGTGATGTGCACACACACATACACAAAGTTTTCATTGACAGCATTTCGTAAAAGGAAAAAGCTGAGCACAAAATACACACACACAGACAGACACACACACCCAAGCGCATGCACACAAATCATGACAAAACATTTGGCCAAAAAGTTTTTCCTTTTTTTTTTGTGTTTTTTTGGTGCAAATATTCAAGCATGGCAAGGACGATGCCGCTGATGCCGATGATGAAGTTATCAGCAAAAACAAGCAAAATGTTGGTACAGTTTCAAAAAACCATAAAGTTAAAAAATAGTGAGCTGGAGAGAGGAAGAGAGAAATGCAAAAACGAAAAGCAACAATCAAAAAAGCACACTGCAAATTCTAAACAAGGCACAACGCTTACACTGCAACAGAAACCGGTGCAGCAGTCCTGTGAGCAGGACTGTCAACTGTCGCTCCAAAAATGTAGCTGAATCCAGTGTAGGAAATAGCGAAAATAACGGCATTCACATTCTGAGCTCAAATTGGCAGCACTTATTGAGATGCCAAAAAAGTACCTAAATAAGGTTAGGATTATAACTGTTTTCGGCTAACGACAGTTGAAAAAGGCCAAATTTAGCTAGAAAATAGCTGATTTGTCGGCACTGCCTGTTAGCCTTGTGCCCCGGTATATTTTGCTCTTTCTCTGCAAGTAAAGGCGATGTCAAATCTGTAAATGTTTTGTGCAGCAACAAACGACAAGTCCAATACATGTTGACATTCATGTTGGCAACAGAAATGAAAATGAGATTTTCATTTTTGCTGCTGAAGCACTTATCTCAATGCAGTTGGCGGCCAACCACATGCTAAGGAAAGGCATTTCGAAAATGTGGCAAAATGAAGTAGCTGCCAGCTTGATTTTAAGCAGCAATTATGGCTCATTTGCACAGCTGCTGTTTTGACAAAGTGACAAATTTGCTATAGCCAAACAGAAATGTTTAAGAATGCTTTCAGGAAAATTCTTACCAAAATTGAAAAGAATTTTTGTTGTGGCAAATCAAGAAATATTAATAGCCAATGGCTTAAACAAGTGGTATACTATACAACATTTATGTCAGACTGTCTGACTGACTGCTGATAAGCGCATAAGTACTAAGCGGGGCTTTGCGAATGTGACGTCGTCCAAAAGGGAGTTCGCCGCTTAGAGGCTAGTTAGCAATATCTGCCTAAAGTTGGCGTACTGTTTAGTTGACCTGAGCGACCACAGGACATTTCCTCGGTTTGTTTTGATTACAGGGTATCTGCTAATTGACCACTCTCAACTTGAGTAATTTGGGCTTTATTAGTTTTCAATTTAAATCTGCTTACATTTGGGAGTGTGCGTTTATTTGATAAAAGACAAATATTTATACAGTTTTCATGTTTTTAAGCGGCTTATTTTTATTGATGTTACATACTTTAATGCTGCATTTTGCATTGCCAAGTATTGTATTGAATTAAATGAAATGCCCACATTTGATTGTTGCTCTATGCCCACAACCATTTCACTCAAGCCCAGAATAGCAATTGCAAAATTACATTCTCCAAGTGCTTAGAGCCGAGCACCTGTCCTGCCTGCTGTGCCTGCCCAGCTGCTGTAGCTTCTTGTGCTCCAGGAGCTGATGCTTCTATGGAAAATATGACGTATGTTGATGCTAACATGAAGTTGCCCGCAAAATAATAAAATGATTCTAATAAATTTTGTGCTACGAAATATTTCAATGCGCCCTCTTTCTCTCTCGCGCTGCCCTCAAGCGGAAATTGCACATTTTGCAGATAGGGGTTTCTGGGTGGGATGGTGTGTGTGTGTGTGTGCGTACTGCATGCGAAGTATAAAAGGAATTAGGAATGCAATTTGAGGTTATGCTGGCAATGTGCGCCCAGGCAGATCGGCTGTTCGGTCCCGGTAGTCGCCTCCGTATCCAAGCAACCGCATTTACAGTGTAGTATGTGTATGTCAGTTAGACAAACAGGCAGTTGGTCTGGCAGTTGGACATATGCAGACGCAGCAAGCGAACCATGCGCCGCCAACCCACAGTATCTAGCACTACCATGTTCTAGCCAACCTATGTCGACCAACCGCTCTGTTCTCATCCCTAGAATTGCCTAGATATTAATAGACAAAATTTTGAGTATTGCTTCCGTCATGAATAATATTTTCGTGCAGATAACGCAACGCATAACCAACAGCATAGGACTCTCAACTTTTGGACAAGCTATGCTTCAACTCCCCTTAAAAGAAGCCCCACTGTAGGGCTGGAGCTCACATTGTCGTGTGCGTCAGTTTCCTTGAAAGTTTTCAAATGTCCATTCGTGGAGCATTCAACTTCCATTCAGCTGTCTGTTTTTGTGGGTTTTTTAATTTTAATGATGCCTCATCTGACACCCGCCCACCCTTGCAAAAAATGTAAAATACTTGCGGGAGCTGCTTCTGCAGAAATTCTCAACCAAAACAATTTTGGGCATGTGCATTTTATGTGCGCATCGAGACTCAGGACCCGGTTCAGATGGAGCTCTATGAAAAGTATTTCTGTGTGCGTGTGTTTATTCGTATGTATTTGTGGCAATGGCTGCATCTGGATGGCAGTTTAAATGAGATTATTTTAGTTTTGGCATAGTTGAAATTTTGCCAACACAAGCAACTCGTTTCGTAAATTTAACAAACGAAAAATATATTTTGTTCTGCTTAGAGGTAAAAGAGCTCTATTAAGACAGAAAGCAGAAAGGCCAAGATTAAGACTATTGCATATGTAGGCTATTTTTTAGTTATTCAAAATTCCGATAAAAATTTTAATTATCTTGAAGCCAATCTGCTCAAAAATATTTGTCAACGAGCTTAAAACCAATCGAATGTAAAGTATTCTTTGAATTTCAATATATCTTGATTAGACTCGGATTTAATCAGCTTCATAAACATTAGTCGGGCAATAAGTCAGCCAATCAGTCAGAATATAGATTA